AAAAAATCCATAAAATTAATAACAAASCACTGTACTATGACTATTATTTAGTCCTGCATTAAATTCCCTATGATGTGACACACTTATTGTCTACTTCATTTAATATTTTAATTATTATTTTTAATGAATAATGGTATACCTAACTAATTATTTATTGAATCATAAATTTATAACTTACTTATAAGACATGAGCACAATCTTGACTAAATAAAGTTTATTCAATAAAACATGACTATAACTTAGTCAATATTCATGGCCATGCAATAAACTAAGCCAGTAAGCCTGCTGATGCCGGCCGGTACATCATATTTAGTCATGGTCATGATATGAACAATAAAATATTTTTTTATCTTAGGTATTTTACTGTTTCTGCCAAGTCTGGGGAAAATGCGCAGTGATAGGAAAAATTGGTTTTTTTGCGATCATGCCTGTTTATTTAGTCTTGATTATAATGATGATGTGTTTAAATCAATGTTATTCTGTTTCTAGTTTTTTTTTTTTTTAATAGGAGTAAAGGTTAAAAGTTTTAATAAAATAATAAAATAGGTACTTACATAGTTAGTATTGAAGTATTCTTTTCTAAGTCTGACTGATGACTATTTTCTGAGTCTGGCTGGCGGTTGCTATTCACTGTTGTTGAAAATGTTTTTGCGTTTTTGATGGTTGGCAACTGTTTTGCTGGAGAGTCGAGGATGGTTGCTGTTCTGATAGCTTCTTGGTCTGTTTGAACTGTTAGAGCTGCTGGTGAACTGATGATTTTATGTTTAAAAATTCGGTATTTTATACAACAGTTTAACCCTCTCTTTGAACGTTGAATATTAAGTACCTCTCATAATCCTGTGGTGATTGTAAATTATACCAGTTTATAAAAATACCATTCTCTTTTGTYCATGTAAGAACATGTTTGTAGTCTTTCATGCTAATTCTTATTACATTATTATATGAGAAGTCTATTTGAATATATACATACTAATTTATTTTAGATTATATTTGATATTTTAACCAGTTAATATAAAGTGATGTTCATATATAATAATTTTTTTTTTTTTTTGGAAATGTTTTTCAAGTCATTGCTATTAACCTTTAACGTTTTTATATCGGAAATCCGGTTCTCATGAGAGATGTATATACATGTCTTCATCTATGAATATCTCTTCTTGGATATGGGGCAAGGTGCACTCACGTTAATCAACGTACTCCAAACAAACAGATATGTTTGTTATTAATGCAATCACGCATCAACTCCCTGTTGCACACATTGATGTCTCAACATGGGCCTTGCCWGATCACGTTTTCAATCAATTAGCTGATCCAAAGTACCTACCATCAACCTGCTGAGATCGATTTATTACTCGGTGCAGAATTATTTTTCGATCTATTGGGGAACGAGCAAGTCAAACAAAACAATGAATCAATAACTGCATACAACACAAAGCTTGGGTGGGTACTTTCCGGAAGGGTACAATATGAACAGTGGACACCGTCGTCGATGTGTTTATTGGCGTCAATACATACTACCACACCATTAGATGAAGCAAAAGAAACTAAAAATCATTTTTGTTCAACATACATCAGAAATGAGTCGGGTCGCTTTATTCTAAAACTTCCGTTTAAAGACAACTACAATCTGGGAAGTTCATATGATATGGCTCGAAGACGATGCTTTAGTCTGGAAAAAAGGAATGTCCCAAAATGAAGTCCTCAAAGGCCAGTATATTGAGTTCTTAAATGAATACGAAGCACTTGGACATATGACACGCATTGAAAACCCATCAAAAATCYACACGGAGTGTTATTATATGCCTCATCACGCAGTGTTGCGCTTTTCAAGTTTAACAACGAAGCTGAGGGTAGTTTTTGACTCATCGGCAAAGTCCAGTAACGGAACCTCATTAAATGATWTGCTAATGAATGGTGGCGTAGTTCAAGACGATATAGTATAAATTGTTCTGCGTTTTCGTCTTCATGAATATGTTATGACAGCAGACGTTGAGAAAATGTATAGACAAATTTTGATTGACCTAGCATATAGAGATTATCAACGTATCTTATGGAGAGACTCCCCTGAGAACGAGTTATCTCATTATCAGCTCAATACCGTTACTTACGGAACAGCATCAGCCCCATACCAAGCCACTCGATGTCTACAAGAACTATCAACCCTAAATGCTGTCAATTTTCCTCGAGCAGCTGAAGCAATCGGAAAGGATTTCTACATCGATGATCTGTTAACGGGAGCAGATTCAATTGACGAATGCATACAGGTACAAAATGATATCTCTCTGATATTAAGTTCAGCTGGAATGAATCTCCKGAAGTGGTGTTCAAATAGTGCAAGATTAGTAGCCAACATGACAAACACAAACTCAAATGAACAMGTTATGCTCGATTTGGAGTACAATGATACAACTAAAACTCTGGGTTTAGTTTGGAACCCAAGAAAGGACCAGCTTCTATTTCAAGTATCACCTCACTCAAATGAGCATCCATACACAAAACGAACATTGCTGGCTGATCTAAATCGAGTATTCGAGACAATGTTGGTGATCGTTTAAGATCAGAAGAATATGATGAGGAAGTTTTCAATTCGCTAACTTTTCGACAAGGTGACGGTTTAATTACGATAAAAACTACATTTGAGGAGAAGCCAACTGATTACTGGGTAATAACACATTATAAATGTTCAAATATTGAAAATGTTCCAGTTAAGGATAGGTAAATAATTTATCATTAATTTACTTTTTTAAATCTTTTTCAATAGGTATTTTTATTATCACTTCATTTCATGATTTAAAAAAAAAAATATATATAATTATAGGTGGAAGTTTAGTGAAGCTGGTGTTAAGTTGTATACAAGCGAAAAGTCAAAAGACCAGACATTGAATGTTAGCTTGAATCAAACCATGCAGTCAATATTTGATACGATGCTACAAGACCCAGGACGTCGTACAATCAAAAGTAAAATAATAGGCTAATTATTATGTTTGAAAAAAAAAAAAAAATGAGTTTTTATTGAATAAACAATACAATATATTATTATATAAATATTTATTTATTTTATACTATTAAATCCTGAAGTCTGACATTGTATTAAAATGGTATTGTAATATTTCATATAGGAATGATGTGTCATCGTTTTGCAGATGAGTGTAATAACTAAAATCATAGTTTTGTATATACTGGTTTGTGAATTCATTTCTTTGAMAACTGATAGGTAGACCACGGACGTCGTTTTTTATTAGATCGTAAGCTGTGTTAAATGTGGCTTGGTAACTCGGTAAACGTTTCTGTTTTTCTGCAATGTAGAGGTCTACACAATGTTGAAGCTGTTTAAGTCTACATAAATCTGTATGTGATAAAGTAATATATTCATCATTGATATGTAAAGTAATTGAACTCTGAATAACATTAGTTGAATATGTAAGGTTATCAGATATATTTGTTCGTCTACATCTGGTGTGTAAATTATTAGTAATTGAAATGTAATTAGATTCAGACATGAGTGTAAACCATTGTTCTAAGTTTAAAGTAATTATYTTCTTTGATAATTTACATTCTAATAACACAATAATCGAAATTTRTTTATTAATTAATAATCCGACTGTAACGCTCTTTTTACTATACGGACGAATGTCGAAGGTTGATTTTGAAACAATTATAGGTAGAACCATGATGAATAATATTTATAATAATRTTTCAGACTATCAATATGAAAAAAATCTAGTATAATGTAACTGATGGAACATATACTTTGAACTGAGGTTTTTATTCATCAGTAAACATATGATATACTAAATCTGTTGCAAAAAAAAAAAAATGGTAAAAAAATGTGAACGTATAGTTCAGTAGATTAGTGTTTAGTGAAGGGAGTAGAGGGAATTATTTATACTTACTTACCTGAAACATGAAATCAACTTATTAAATTAACTTAACGCACTAATCCACTGAGCTATAAGTCCACGAGATATTAGATTAAAAACTAAGTTGTTTATAATATTTTTTTTTATTTATTACAACATKTAGGTATAATGAAAGAACATGATTTAACAAACGGTGTYGTATGACCTAGTTTCACAATTACAAATATATTCATTGTTACAATATTTATTTAATACTTTTTGAACAAACTGATTTCCCTTCATTAATAATACATATATATACTTTGGATTATATCTGCAATGTTCAATCCAAACGTCATCTTCTCGTTTCCAATGATAAAGAATAAGTCCACAGCAAAAGCATTCAACGATATCTTCTACTCCTGTATATTTTAACCCACATTCAGCTAGAGCATATTTATTTTGAAAACAATTTAAAGGAAAATGTTCGAAAGATCTTAATCTTGAATAAATTGAAGTATATCCTGGATGGGTTGGAACTGAATTATTTCGTATACGATGAACTAATGATTGAAAATCGCTTGAAAGTTTTGGTAAATTCATTTCCTTAATTAATATTGAAATAATAACTTGAAAAAACACAACTCGAATACACGACGGATCAGCAGTAACTAAATGTAAAATTATTAACTTGCAACTAAATAGTAGAAATTAAATTTATACATTTTTAAAAACTAGAACAGTGTAACCAACGTGATTAAAAACATAAAAATAATCTCCCTGTAATTTTTATAAAAATTAGCGATATTTGATTGAAAAAATTTAAAAAAAAAACGGAAAAAAATAGTTGATACGGTAAATATTTTTGTGTAAGAGGCAAATAGACGGGACAATTTTATGTAATCACCGTATTGTGTTACGCAGTAAATCAGTGTGCCCCAAGAGAGAATTTTCCGCTTGAAAAAAAATTTTTACCGTGGAAAAGCTGGCTGTGAACATACAAATATATACTACTCATAGCGTAGAGAGCTCTATCTCTCTCAGTTTGACCAGGTTGGTCTACAATACTTAAGTAGCTTAACTAATGTTAATATTGTTTATGCACTGTGACTTCATGACCCGGTGCTCGGTGCCAACCGATCTGAGTTCCCGTCCTGTGGTTCAGGCTCCAACTCCTCCTCCGTGCTGAACCCTTCTTTCTTCCTCTTCTCTGCGCATCATTATACGTGTGAAAAGTTGTTCTATTCTGCACCATGCCTTTTTTGACGACAACATAATACCAACCACGTTGTCTGGGGTGATCTGATCTATCCCCAGATAGATGCACGCATCTTGTCGCCAGTGATACCAAGCGTCACATAAAAATATAGCGTGCTCGGCTCTATCAGGACTTACCCCACAGTGAGCACACTCATCGGTCTCCCACTTGTCGAATCTTTTTAAATATTGGTTGAAACACCCATGGTTGGTTAGCACTTGGCACAGGTGAAAAGAAACCTCACCTTGATTCCTCTGGAACCACRGTTTAATGTCCTTGATCAGCCTGAAGGCCCATATCCCGTTCTCGGTTGGTGATTTCCAGCTATTTTGCCACTTGGTCAATAAGATCTCTGGCAGCATACTTATCGACTCCATTGTACACGTTGGTTCTTTCCTTAGCCAGTAAAGCGAGTGGGGGCATGCTTGCCACTAATGCAGTAGTAGGACGTGGTTCGGTAGCAGCATGCGACCCTCAACATGATTCTCCTGTATGCAGACATCATATTGCAGAGTGCTTTGGCCGTGATGCTGGGGTACCATAATAGGTGCGCCATACAGGAGCCCTTAAGGTCACATCCGTGGCGAGCACTCTCCTCGTCCTTTGTTTTGCGCCTCTTTGATTTGGCAGTATCTGCGTTAAGCATCTCCCCGCCTCCGTCGCGTGTAACGCGTGCTCGTGGAAGTTGAACCTTGGGTCAAAGTGCACGCCTAGGTGCTTTACGCAGCGACGAATGCGTGCGGTGGGTAGTCAACTGTCATGGTGTTCCTCGTATTCTTATTTGTAAACAGTATTGMTTCGGTTTTTTGTAGTGCCAATTCAAGCCCGTTTGTAGTCATCCACGATACGACGTCACTCAACGCTTCGCTCAGTCTCTCTTCTATTTGGAACGGCACCTGGCCCGTGGTTATGATTTCCACGTCGACAGAAAAAGCGATCAATTCCGTTTCTTCAGGGAGACGCATTTTTAAGAGATCGTCATACAGCAGGTTCCACAGTTCGGGTCCGAGGACTGAGCCCTGGGGGACTCCACAGCTGACGTCTCTTGTGATGACAGTCCCGTCTGCCTTTTAKAACGTTATTTGCCGGTTGAGTAAGTAGTCCCCGAGCACATTTCTCAGGTACTTCTGAGTCTCTGTTGTTTCAAGTTTGCAAATTATTACGTCCCACGAGGCACTGTTGAACGCATTTTTAACATTCAGTGTCAGCATGCCGACGTATTTGCGTGCACTTCTTCTAGCGTTTGCATTCTGAACTATTTCCCGCAACATTGCCATAGCGTCCATTGTCGATTTCCCCGGTTTGAATCCGTATTGATTCTCAGCCTGTTGTCCGGTTCCACCAAGATGAGCACGAAGCTTTTGTGTTATCAGCTTCTCGAACAGCTTGCCAGTAGAACCTAACATGCATAGTGGACGGTATGCCGATGGGTTATCTAATGACTTCCCAGGTTTGTGTATTAACACCAATCGCGCCTTCTTCCACTTTGTAGGGAAGTGTCCACTCTCTATGCAGCTGTTGTATAGTGCAGCAAAGTATTCAGGCTGAGTTGTAGCTGCCAGTTTGAGTACCTCGTTTGGTATCCCATCAGGTCCTGGTGCCTTTCCATTTGGGATACTGATTGCTGCTGCCCTTACCTCAGCGGCTGTTATCGTTGCTGAGCCTAGCTCTTCTTCGTTATCGATCGCTAGTATAGGCCTTGCAGAGATGCTTCTGCGCGGGAACAGCGTGTCAATTATCGTATCTAATCTGCCGGGGATTTCCAGTCCATGGATCGGTCTTCTGCGGGACAGCTTTTTCATCACTGTCTTGTATGGTAGGCCCCAAGGGTCTCGATCTAACTGTGAACACAGGTCTCGCCAGTGGCTATCTTTCGAGTTAAGAATTTTTCTTGTTAGTAGCTTCTTTTGATCTTTGTAGCGTTGGCCCTCGATGATGCTTCCGGCTTCGCCTGCCTTTTTTCTTTTCCTTGTGTACGCTCTTCTGGCCTTGATGTATGCCTTCCGCGCGCTGCTATTTCTGAGTTCCACCAGTAGACAGGTCGCCTTTTGTTGTTTCCGCTCGCTCGTGGCATGCACGCATCACAAGACTCAGTTAGGCAGGTGATAGCTTCTCCGCAAGCTGTTGCAGCGTCGCCGTAAAGGGGCGCCTTTCCGTAGTTTTTCGGCTAACTTTGGATAGTCCAGCTTCTTGTAGGCCCAATGTTGTTTGATGTAGTTTCGGCGGTGACTGCTATCGGAGGAGACTTGGAACTGGATGTAGCGATAAAGACTTAGCTGGATCGTGCTGGAAGAAGAATCAGCACGATCCAATCGGTAACGTTGCTCGCGGATGACTGAGTTAGGACTTGAGACACTGTTAGGTCCAGATGTGATTCGGATGCTCCCCTGACGAAGGTGTGTCGGTTGCCTTGGTTGCAGACCGCGAGACCCGTGGAGGCTAGAAGCTCTGCTAGGGCTAGTCCCCTACGATCTTCGATTGGACTGCTCCACTCCGGTGACTTGGAGTTAAAGTCACCAGCGACAACCACAGGACACTTGGCTTCTCYGATGCTTTCTTCAAGTCTGTCCAAGAAGGCTTCAAATTCGGTGAAGCTGGTGTTAGGTGAGCAATAGCAACTGTACAGCCTGTGGCCAGTGGTTTCTAGCCATCTAAAGCCTGGGATTAGCGGTCCTGTTCTATCGACTGACATATCGCTTATGACAGCTATAGCCGATCTTCCGTTGGCGTCTGCGTACCAACCAGCGTCTTCCCCTAAGTTCCTGTGCTTCTCGATGATAATTAAAATGTCAGCTTTAGCCTCGTTGGCAGTCGCCAGTGCCAATTCTTGTGCCAATCTGCAGACTCCAACATTAATTCGCAGGAGCTTAGTCATTAGGACGTACTTTGTTGCTCCGGGACATCGGCCGTTTCCACTATAACGTGCGCTGTACGCCTGCCTAGTCTCCTTCCTAAGAAGTTYGCCGAAGATGTTTGCTTCCGTGTCGCCAGTAGGGCAGTTCTTTACGTAGTGACCTTGTTACCCACATCGTCTGCAGCACTTGCTCCTGTCAACTCCTTTGCACTCTTTAGCTTGGTGGTCGAATGCCAGGCATCTGAAGCACCAAATTCATATTCGTTCCGCCACCCGTACGCGACAGTTAACCAAGCTGACTCTCGGCCGTCCTTTTTCAACAATGTCGCGTGAACATCCTGCCGCTGCAAAGACGAGCGCTGTTTGTATACCCCCGTACGCCGGCCTCAGGTTGATGACACGGGCAAATGTAAACTCCCCTAAAACATTTTGCTACCGTATTACACTTACGTAAACTCCYCTAAAAATATTTTGCTACTGTATTACACTTATGTAAACTCCCCTAAAAACATTTTGCTACTGTATTACACTTATGTAAACTCCCCTAAATAACAAATTTATTATTATTATTT